CAAATGCATTTGAATATTTAATACCTGCTGTTTACCTATTTGATTCCGAATTTCCAATGATTTTATGTATGAATTCATCAACAGCAATGGTGGTAGAGGAGAAGCCCTTCCTGAAGCCATATTGTGATTCATTAAGAATATTATTAGATTCAAGAAAACAATTATCTTATTAATATAACTTTGTCATAGAATTTGCCAAATACTGAAGTTTGGATAATAGGTCTGTAATTCCTAACAGCTTGTGTATTATTTTCTTAGAAGTGGTCTTACAATACTAATTTTTAGAGATTCTGGAAAGTAAAAACAGATAGACATGAATTTATTAAATAAACTAATATGTTAAGAAGAGTACGTTTACATTTTTTAAGAATTATTGAAGATATTTCATTATTGAAGAGCAAAAACCAATTTTGAAGGAATTTATCAATTAATTAACTTTCACAGGATTTGTGTGATGGATACATGTTGACATTCCAAAAGACAAAGGACTGTTGTGTTACTGGTAAATGTCCTGGTTGGAATGGTAGTTAAAGGTTCTACAAATATTAGAAGGATTATCAAGAAACATGCATTCATATGGTAGGTGTAAGTTTGCGAGTTTGGGTTTTCCCATTGTTATCTATATTTCACGGTGTTTTAGATTTAGTTGTAGAGTTGTTGACTTTATGATTAATTGATAAGCTTTCTCATTCATCAGTTTAATCCTATAATGCTTTTATACTGTGTGTACTTCTCATTATAATAGGGATTCTTAGTATGTCTGAACAGGAAATTCATGTTTTTCATTTTATTTCAAATAACAAGAATTTCATAAGGAAGCTTGATTTTAGATTTCTTTAGTACATTAATTTGCCTTTTAATAATGGGACATGGAATATTCAAATGATGATTAATGTACTTAAGAACAAGTTCCATTTCTCATTAATATCATTGCCGTTGAGTACTTCAGTCCATTCTTCTTTGAGGAGACATTTATTTAGTAAATGTAATTTAGTATCCTTTGTATCGAGGGTGAATGTGTAATTTTGTGTATGTTTCTCACAATGCTACATTTTTGTTGTTGAGTTTTGTGAGCAACATGCATTTTTGGGACGCATTGTGTGGGTTGTGGGGGGATGTGTGGTGCCTAGCGGTGCAAAACAGTTTTGGGAAGAGAAGTTGGGAGGAAATTGTATGTACGGACAACAACTGGACATTTTGTTGGGTTACTGACTTAGTCCTGTGATTTTTTGAGTTGATAGAAGAACTCATCATGAAAATGGCACTTCATTGCGGGAAAAAGGTGAAGACAAACTGGGTCACCAAGTTAACAGATAGTAAGTAAACAAGTAAATTTGAATCATTAAAATGTAAGAAAAATTACACTGCGTGGCAAAAAGTTTTTCTTATAAAAATGCAGATTTCTAGCACATGATTACAATATTTTTTCTTCTTATATAGTAAGGTGAAAAAGTAAAAGAGTGTTGTCCATAGATGTAGAGAGGGAGTTTTAGAAAAAAAATTACTTTTTCGGTATCAGAGACTCCTAAAATTATATCCATCGAAACCTCAGAATTGATACATCAGTTCTCTACACTAGTATGCTTAATGCGTACTAGAGTAGGGTAAACTGATCGTGTGTACCTAGTACTAGTGACAAATTTTAATCACATAAGATTCAATTCATTGAAATTTATTGGTCATGCCATTTTTAACTCCAAGAAGGTTAGGCAGCTATATTATTTCCTTGTAAATTAGAATTCTTGACAAATTACATAAAGAAATGTGAATTAAAATAATTTTTAATTTAAGTAACTATCTCAGTTTATGTAACAGAGGTCCAAAGCCAAGGTCTCATAATCAACCAGGTCTTTTGAGAATACAAGTATTATTTTGGAAGGTATCCAAGCTTTTAACTTTGAATTAATATGAAATTTCTTGAAAAATCATATAATTTTCCACACATTCCACTCTCCCATGTTATCGATATCCGATTTTGGGTACAAATTCAATCTACACATAACCATTCCCCCCCGGTAATAAATAATAGAAGACTGACTGACACTGACTTTGAACCTAGTTTGAAAGGCATAAATGCATTACCTCTTTAATGACAAAAATACAATTTTCTTCAACTTACTACAATAAGTAGCATTTCAAGTTACAGGATCGTGACGTGCATCAAAAGTGAAAATAATAGAAGCATATTTTGCAAAGATTATATAACTGAAAATTTACTTTGAATTTCCAAAACATTTTAAACAAAACTATTGATTTTTAATACTACCAATAACAGCATAGGTCTACTTAGTAGCTGCCTTCGAAACAAAGAAAACCTATAGAGAAAATCATGAAAATGTATAATATAACGTATGTCCCATTCCCATATGTCATGGGTCATGAAAGGGTTGAATCTTATTGACAAGGAAAGGAGGATCTCTTGATTTGAGAAAAATGAAGTTGCTTTGCCTCATTTGTAAAATACCTTTGTAGAGGTTTATCTGAAGCCAGTTATTATTCCATGAAGGAGAAACCCTGTTCAACGTACTGTACCTCTTGCAAGTGGTGTAATGTTTCGGCCCGCAACGCAGGCAGATCCAGATCAAAGAGGGCCCACTATTGGGCTAAAGGTTTTGAGATTGTAAAAAATATTAACTGCTTGATACTTTGCGATAGTAGATATAATAAACGATTAAAAAAGGCATCTTCCAGAAGAATGATTTTTTTGTTCCAGTTCAGAGGCATACGTTTCTAAACCAATCAAGATAAGTAATTCATTTAGGTTTTATAACAGTCTGTTTTATTTATTTATTTTTATTTTTTGTAAGTATGGAATTACAATTGAGAAAATCAACTCTAATCCCAATTCTTAAATACAAATAAGAATTCTAACCTTCCTGACTGTTATCGATCTATTTCATTTACTAATACTTCATGCAAACTACTGGAGAAATTTTAAGAGACTTTTATGGTTTTTAAAAAATAACTGCAAAATTTCTCTGCTTAAAAGGATTTTGACATCGCCGCTCGACTATAGATCACCGAAGTAATATACATAGTGATATTTCTAATGCCTTCATTAATCATGATCATCTCTGTATAATCTTTGATATAGAAATATCTTATATGGTTTGGAGAGATACAATTATTAACATATTACTTGAATGTGGAATAACTAGTAATATATTGACATTTATTGCAAATTTCTCAAAGACGAGATCTATAGAAGTTCAATTTTATAATACATTTTCTAACAAATACTACATCCAACATAGCATCCCTCAAGGGTCTTTCATCAGTATATTATTGTTTTTAATCGCAATCAACTACATAAAGTTGCAAGACTTGATTCCTAAAAGTATTTTTATTTGCAGAAGACTTCACTAACTAGTGGCAATAACATTTGCAACAATCAATAACTGGCTCAATCAACTCTCAACAAACTTGTTGCTTGGACATATGAAACAATTCAAAATATACCACTCAGAATCTCAGTACATTTTCTGCAATAAAAAGAAAAACTTAAATGATCTACTCTATGTCACTATAAAATCTCAATGTCTTCATTGTTGTAACGAAGTAACAACTTCGTCGGGAGGCTTTTTTGATAACAAACTAACCTGTAAATCCCAGATCATCAATTTGAAAACTGAATGTCTAAAACTAGTGAACATCAAATCTCTCGTCTACTTCCAGCAGTGCCAATAAAAAATTATTCTTCTCGCATACAATGCATTAATACAATCAAAATTGGACGATAAATCTATTATATGCCAGTCAGCTATTTCACCTGTACTAAAAACCTTAAACCTTATACATTCCTTAGGTCATAGATTAGCATTCAATGCTTTAGCTATGGTATATATGCAGAGACCAACTGTGAACCTATTGAATACTGAAGAAAAAAATTAATTTTTACGAATTGAAGTAAAATTTTATCAAACCCAAATAAACCCACCTACAACAGAATTACTAATAACTTTTTTAGTATATATAGGAAAAAAAATTTCCAAAGTCACTAACTCATATCTTGAATACGCTTCAAGAATTTTATGTTCCTTCTCTGAAAATCCACCCTACTCACCTGATTTTCCGCCCTCCATGGCTATACCCATTACTCAAAATATATAAAAGTCAATTCTTTCATCAAAGAAAATATCACCAATATACAATATTGATTCCTATTCAATGAACTGCAAAATCAATACATAGACTAAATACAAATTTATACAAATGGTTCACTCAAAATTAACGAAAATATTTTTCGTACTGTTACATCATTTTTGCTTAATTTTTTTACTGTGAAGCTTATGTTATCTTTGCTGCTTTCAAATACATAGAAGGAAAAGAAGACTACAAATACATTATATTTACTAATTCATTGAGTATCCTAATTAATAGTAATTTAAATAAGTAAATTAAATACGAAAATAAATAATCAATTTAAATAAGAATGAAGCAATAATTAATGATCTCAATATCTATAATGGTTTGTCATTTAATAAAAAAGGATTCATTCTTTCATGGATATCATCCCATATAGGAATCCAAAGCAATATCCTAGTAGATTTAGCTGCTAAGCAAGCAACTAAATTCACTCAAGAAAAGATACGTTTTACATAGTCGTTAAAAAAACAATGTAAACATGTTAAGATTCACTGAAAGACTACATGGTATAATTTTCCTAGTTGACTCCACCAAATTATAAATATTTTTGATAATAATCCTTCAGTACAAACAAAAAAAAAAAAAGAAGAAATTACACCACATTGAACATAGCTGTCTCATCCACTCACATCTGTTCAAGAAAATTTTCATCATTGTGTATATCTAGTAACATCCTTACAACTCTCCAACACATCTTAATCAATTGCGTTTTACTTACACATACACATTCACTATCAAATTGCCTCTCCAAGTTACTTACTGAAACATCTCACAGTAATAAGGTTTCCAATTTTCTAAAAGATAAAATTATTTTCAAAGTATTAAATAAATTTATACGTGTGGTCACTAAAGACTTTGCAGTTCATGCAACCAAAAATAAATAAATAAATAAACTTCGTTAAAAAAAAGAAAAATTTAAATAATAAATGCAGATATTTCTACTATTGGTTATCAATCTTTGACTGATGAATTTGTTTGTTTGTTAAGATATTTGTATAATTTAAGATACTAATATACTTGTGTTTGCTATACACTTTTGTAAAGAAAGGGGTCCCCAGATAAAAGTTTTGCAGGCCTGTACTCATTTCGTTGTGCTACTGGCTCTAGCCCATAAATTTTAACTTCTCAATAGTGTTTTAAATGTGGTTGGGTTACAACTAAAGAGTCACATTTTAATTTTTTTTTATTATCCAAATGAAGTACACTATGAGGAAAGAGGAAACAAGAATAAAATACAGGAAAGAATTTTACATACAAGATAACTTCCAATAGGTAGTAAAATACAGCACTATATGGTTTCAACATTATAATAATTCAAATTCTCTATAGCCTCATTTTGTTACCTATGTCTGTAATAAAATATCAACAAAAATAGGGTTCTCTGCTAGAACATACATTTTCAAATGCACACTGGTTATTTCTCCCCTATTTTTCGAAGGAATGTGTGAAGATTTCTGGTAAATGAAGTAGTGAAGGTCAAATCATTGAGTACTAAGAAAAAAATAGGTAGTTTATGTCCAGTTATATCCTTTGAGTACTGTGCATTTGGCACATTAGTGCATAACATTGTGTAAAATTAAAAGGAAAAGGCCAAATAATACAAAAATGTTTCTTCTCAGTTCATAATGAACAATTCATAACAATTTAAAAATACAAAATGTCTACCATTCATTATTTGGAAAACAAACTCTTTACATTCACCATTTCACAGCACCCTGACTTTCGCAAACAAAATTTGAACTAGAAAATTCCAGAAAAATACTTCCTACTTTCACAATTCTTTCCCCCCCTATTATATGGCACAACTGTTCTGTGCCTCAGAACAAATTAAATTACTCCACACAATTCCTTTTTATGCACATTCAGCAAGTGCTTATCAGTGAAAAATTGCACCCTGATCTGGTTGTAACAGGCCACAAGTTAGTAACTCCATCACTAATAGGTACCTACTTCTTTTTTCAACAATTTGTATGATAATACAGAATATTGCTAGATTTAGCACCCTGAACTTTATCATGTGCTAAATTAAAAATCTTTGATAATTTACTAATAATACACATCATTAAGTATTTTAGAAAATCAAAGCAAATGTCAATCCAGCATCAAAAGAAAAATGAAACTAATGAATGTGTCTTATTTTTCTATAAAGTTATTATTAAGCATACTTTAGTTTATTGCTGGTCATTATGACACCTACCATCATTACTACCCAAATCAACCAATATCTTCAAGTTTTCCTGCTGAGTTACTTTTGCACAGTAATGCAACACTGGAGGATTTACATTGCATTACATCATATCTCAACATTCCCATAGTTGAGATTTATTGAAGGTGACATTTAATTTTATTTCGTGTCTTGGACTTCAAAATGTACATAAATAATTTCTTTCATTAGAAATGATATATGAAGAATTCAATTATTGCCCCTAATCGCAAAATAAATACGTGATTCTTAACTCCTATTAGCTAAGAGAATAAACATCATCTATGAAGTAAACAGAAACAAACTAAACATATTGAACCAATGAAGTAAATTATCAAAGACTGAACATGAACAAGTTTTCATGTGCTAATTTGACCTGTTAATACCAGTGGTGTCAGGTGCAACACAGCACACTGACTGAAATTAAGGCACTTGCAGACTTTTACATATGTCTGGTATTGCCAAAGTTGATACCACTCTGATTGGCACCCTTGTTGCTACCATACTGCAAGCTGATGACTCCTTGACCAGCACGCATCTGCTCTTCAGAGAAGTTGCGAACATTCTTCTCTGCTTCTTTTGGTCCAATACTGGGTTTGCCATAGTTGCCAGCCTAAAATAAATACGAGTTTTGTTATTTCATAAAGAGGAACATAGAATACCTTCCATGTATTATATGTACGTTCTCTGTTATTCAATAAGGATTTGTCTTTTAAACTTTGTGTGAGTAATGTGTAAACTGCTCTGAAAATTATTATTTTTTTGAATACTAAATAATAAACTTGAGATATTAATGGAGAGGTTAGATTAAAACTTAGTATTAAAAACTGGAGCCTGTTAATGTCTGTTTAGACTTCACCAGCTCCACTCACCTTCCTTCCAAGGGACTGCAAACAAATTACAACAGAGTTGAGGTTCTGTCGCTCCCAGAGGTCAACAGTCTGGAAGGTTTCTTGTGGAGGTACTCCCAATTTACGGGCAGCCTCCAGGAAGGTGTTGATATTTTCCATGCATTTGAATGCCATTTGGGTCTCATTTATTTTCTTGGCAGAACCAGGCTGAATGCAGTTCACTAACCTGTAACAAAAGTTTTTTTGCCCTATTTTACTCTGAGATCAATCAAAGGTGGAAAAGTGACATGCATGAAATGCATAGTTCATGAAACTGAAGATGTCACAATTTATGGTGGTATCAATAAGTATTTTAAACTAAAATAGTTCAATACCAGCAAATTTACCCCTCCCGATTCATATAAATAGGTTAATAATCTTATTAAATACCTGGATGTTTGAAGAAGTAACAAATTGACATTTATTACATTTTCACTATTGTGTAATTTTCAACCTTTTTAAAACTAAGTAATCCTTATGAAGCAAATAGGTTAGAGATTTCACTGAAGTTTTTCCTTTTTGTAATATTGAAGAAAAAAAGGCAAGGAAAATAGTTTAAAGAAAAATTTTAAAAAATAAAATGAAAACAACTTTCTACTACATTCTAAAACTGCTTCTCACTGTTTGAAGTAGTATGTCTCTTCAGTCTCTTTGGCTGACACGTCTTATATTTTAAAAAATAATACATTTATCCACAAAGTTACATTTCCAAGTTCTTTCTCTTTCCTCAACTTTCCTTGATTCATTGTAATTCATATCATGTAATTTATACATCAAATCCTTCATTATGTTCTAAATCATCATTACTGTTACCTGCACAGCAATATGCCGTCCTTCAGGATCTCATAAAAGTTGTCCATATCTCCATTAGTATTGATGTCCTCATTTGTAATGCTTTTAATCCATTCCAGAGATTCAGAGGCAAGCTCTTCACTGTACTTGCTGTTGATCTGAAATAAAAAAAGATAGGAATAAAACATTGTGTCAGCTTTCAAGTGGAAATTATGGAGAGGTTCTATTCACTATTGCATATCTTGTGTATCCCTGCATTAAGCTAGCTTTCAAAGAAATCCACATGCATGAAGAGGTAGGTTCGGCACACAAGCGTGTGCCCAAGGGGGCGGGACGAGTTTTATTTCTTTAAAGATATTCAATCCTCCTCTTTTTAACCTGACAAACTGCGAAATATACAGTTGGGGGACAAGGCTCACTAAGCCTTAACCTGCAAATGGTTTAGCAACATTCTATTACAGTAAATCCTCATTAACGCGAATTCCAAGAGACTAAAATAATCGGAGTTCTAAAAATTCGTGTTTTTAGCGACGCCAGAATAGGAAGGGACAAGGAGGGATAGCAATCAGAAGTTTAGAGAGCAGTAATATTTACAAGATCCTTCGTTATAACTTTAATTCTGATCATTTGTAGATGAAATGGCACTTCACATCTATCTGTTACCACTCATCAAGCCAAGAAAACCATTGTTTGTTTTAAGCGTGATTTTTATAGAATGTTATAGAAAACTTTACTGTGTCCCTTTTTTGCTGTTTGGTATTTGACTAGTCACACAGAAAGTGTTTCACAGTGAATTGCTTTCAGTCGCAAAATTTATACCAAAAACTAACAAACTCCTTAATTCCAGTGGGGGCACGGCCATGCCCAGGAGTGTCTGTACCATCTCCGCTCAATTTTTGAGTAGCGTGAACAAAAAGACATTCCTGGTCCCCGCTAGAGCGCCAGAAGAAGTCGACTGCGGGCGAGGAGCAACGCCCTTCCCCACGGGAGGAGACTAAATCCGGGGCCATCCACGCGTCAGCGGGTGCTCTTCCGACGAGGGTGGCGTCCCAAGAAAGAAGCTGCTGGCGCTGACAGCAGCCATTCCGCCCCCCCCCCCCCCGACGCCACGGCGGCGCTGCAGCCCCACACGGATAGTCTTTTTTAGGAGAAATGATATAAAAACCTCACACTGTCAAACCACTTTCCCATTCACGTGCCTAGTATTTATTTGTATTGTTTTCCCAAACCCGATATGCCTTCAAAACAGCTTGAAACATATATCCCCTTGTTAAATTCCCCGCACATCGCGACCGCACCATACAGCCCGCTCGCGACGGACCATTGTTGGAGCTATCTGGCAGCATGCGTTTGCTCATTTTATTGAGTCATTGTTATGTTGCTAAAATATATTATTAGAACATTCCAAAATGCCAAGCTGCGGATGCGGCTGGTGCTGACAGAAGGCACTCCGTTCCCCTCCCACATCCCACCGTGGCGGTTCTGTACCCCCGAAGTCCGTCAATGTTTTGTGGGGCCTTTACATCGATGAATCTAATGGCAGCAAAACGTCCGTCCGTCTGTCAACAACGCTAGCGGCTAAACCGTACAGCCGAGTATCTCCAAAATTGATATTTTCCAATCGATTAAATTAAATTAAATGCCAAAACCAATCAATGTGGCTGATGTTGCGACCTTTTTTTTGGGGGGGGGGTGACCGATATTAATTTTTTTTATTGGGGGGGGTACTTTACGTGAAGCCCCTCGGACATTTTCAAAACTTTCAAAAAATGCTTATAGTTTTTTATTAAATTGTGTTGTTAGGTAGTGTGAAGAACGTTTAAGAGAATGGTGCAGGTCTCCTGTTTTTCCCCTGATTTTTCGAAAATTGCAAAAATTCAAATTTTTTTCGGCAAGTACCTACAACTACAATTATGAAGATAGAGATGTTTACCTTCATGAAATAAGTTCCTTAAAGATAGATTTTGAAATAAGGTCACGTGCAATTTTTCAACACCGATATGTTGGATTGCACTAACAATTTAATGCCGAAATACCTTGCATCCGCAATTTTACTTCGTTTTGTTCAGATGGCCTTATGAGCGTCTCGGCCGCCCCAGCGACTCAAATTTCCCGGGTCGCGAGTTCACGGGGATAGGCCCCACAGATATATAGAACTCTGATCTGCCCCGCCCCTTCACATTCCCTTCACAACTGTCGGAGGTTGCCCGTAGCCCTGCTTCGGGCAGTCTACGTAGTTGGAACAACTGCGAAGGCACGCCAAAGGCCCATCTCGGCTTAGGCAAGCCAGTTTGGGGAAGGATATCCGTCTGGAATGGGGAGAAAGTGAGTTCGAAGAGTGATAAATGCCCCGAGGTCGCCAGGTTAGCAAGGAATGGAAGGAAGATTGTTGAAAAGTGCTACATAGCGCTTGGGAGAGTTCCTAAGCCGTAACTCACAAGTAACATTCATAACCGACGCGAGATTTGAATCGCAATCCTTAGAACAGACGATCTTCACAACCTAGGTCCGATCATCAGTAATTAAAATTATTGGAAAACATTGAATCGCTTAAACACGCACTTTCGTGTACTCTCTGTAATTAAATCGCGTTGGAAGTTCCGTGATTTTTTTCTAGCATTTCAAATTAGCTCTTTTGATAAAATTGACAAGTTAATAAAATATATTAACGTTATAAATAGATGTGCGAGTTCTATTATATTACGAAAGACGTCAAGCTTATCTCATTTTCTTGCAAGAAACTTCATTCCAAATTTGTACTCTTGAAAATGCTGTCAACTACTTCGCGATGTTCCAGAATAATAAGATTAGGGAGCAATCAAAATTTTAGCACTTCAATGTAACGTTCCATTTTGAATTAAATTAACGACGAATCCTTCTCGAGCTACGATTTGCTCTCTTCCAAATTAATTTACTTTATCTTAATTATAAATTGAACACTGTTCAAAAGACAATTAATTAAAAACTACTTTTAGTAACGTATGATTTAGTGGGGAAAATTCTCACGATGAACAGAAAATGCATCTGAATGTTGACATTTTACGACAGTTTAAGTGACACGTTTATAAAATGCGAGTATCAGCTACAGTGCTAAATACTAAATACTAGTATCAGCATCAGTGAAAATCTTGCAAGTGCGGCAATAAACACATCCGATTTTTGACTAATACTAAGGTACGTTAAGCGCCCAAAGAAAGGACAATATAATTTTGCATATAGAAAATAACAAACATAATGTACAGATTAGAAATTCTAAAACCAATTGGATAACTTAGGGATGCATCGCATTCATTGACACTACGCCACTGGGCTAGGGGGCAGAGTTTCTATGAGCGAATAATCCAGGTGTCCTATGCCCCACCTTTGCAAAACAACCATAGGTAAATTCCCAATGAAATGAAATCCCCAACAACTCCCGTCCCAACCAGATACCACACTCGTTTGGCCAAGGAGTAAGTAACACATTGATTTGACAGACCGCCAAGTCGTTACCCTTGCAGCGAACACTGAGCCAAAAATCTGTAGTTTTGGGCACTCATGTTTTGTCAAATTCAAAAATGCCCTATGTTCGTGGGATGGACAATAGACATGTATTCAAAGCCTGGCCATTAGAAACGACAAACTAGAGTGTGTAATCCAATAGGGTAGTGGCATCAAACTTCAAATCACACAGCAGTTTGGCAAACAGCTTTTCTGCCCATTCGAAACTGTTCTTTGACAGGCGTGATGAGCATTCGAACAGCGTATCCGGAGGAAAAAAAGGCTTCAAAACCCGCCTGCCGTAGCAGACTGCACACTCTTTTCAACGTTTGAGTTTCAGCGCTTTTCCACTATACTCAGTCACCGGGCATCTGGCGTTGGCAACACTGAGGTTCACGACGGGGTTCCACATAGAAGTGCTTCATAACGAATGGAAATTGCACATGCGCGT